ATAAGTAACGCACCTTTGTTTTACTGGGAATGACCTCCTTCGGCATCTCCAGCTTCTCCTCGGATAACCCGTTGAGTTCTTCCTTCTCAGACTTGTGCTCCTCCTTTTCGACGCTTTTCAATGGCTTCTCAGACACCGCTTCCCCTGTGAACACACAGTTGTGAAGTGTACAGTGCTGTTATCAGTACTGTCTTTCATAATGAAAAAGTTTTCCGAAGTGACGCATCGTATGGTTCGTCATGTGCTATCGCTAGCCATATTTGTTAAGAATGACTAGTTAAACGGCGGTAACTATTGACATGGGATAGAACAAAAACAAGATGAGGTCGAGTCAATTGATTCATAACACGGCTACGTTTGAGTAAGCGGTACCTGATGAACTGGTAGGCTGAGGTTCAGGAGCTGCCGGCGCAGGGTATTTCTTCTGAGACTTGGGCATTTCGCCTGTCGGCTGCGTCACTGTCGTCGAATCGCTGGGAATAAGTTCGTTGAGATCGCAGAAGCTGTAAAAAAGTGGTGATTAGGGTTGGAAAAGTACTCATGTTCCTCAACGCGATATCATTTCCGAAAGCGCGCTTGATTGTAGCAGAGATGTTTTTTTCGAGAGTCAGAGTCAGTAGGACCGTAATGTGGACTCAGTAGGACTTGGTAGAAGAAGTGTTCGGCTTGGTGGGGGCACCAAATGCTACCTAGAGGAGCTGAATTAAGGCACCTTGTGAAGACATGTAAATTCTTGCAGCAAATTGGCTCACTTACGCCATTCTGCAGCTCAACGGGATTTTACAGGCCTCAGCGAAATTGTGACCTGTGAATTAACATGAACTAGCAGAAGGAACGAGCGAAAGTGCAAAATACCCCTCCAAAGCCAAGGAGCGCCGAGAACTGTACTGGATTAAGGAAGAAATTTCATAGCAAAACTCTTCTAAATAGCTGGGTTATCGTAATCAGGAGTTCAAAATAAATGAGTGATGTTCAGTAGTCGACTGAATGATTCCTTTCGCTTTGTGTCAGTGAGACTGACTGTTCCTCGATTTGATGAAAAGAAAATTACGATCAGTCACCTACTCTGCGTTTCAGGCAATGACAATTCTAGTCAAGTAAGAGCACTTACAGACATAAGGCACAGTAATCTGGTACTCGGTCTGAAATGGCAGCAGAGAAGATTTATAGTGGGGGGAAAATGGTAAAAAGCGACGTAAAAGCCAAAAGACCTGCAAGAAAGGCTTTGTTCTACACAACTCAAAGGGCGATTCTGCCCGAGTTTCCCGTTGGCTTCGTGCCAGTAACCGTTACGGTAGATACTGTTGTACATATGTAGTCATGTATCCATGCAGCACCGCAGCCAGGGTAGAGCATGGGGATGTGCGAAATGTCGGTGTGAGTCCACGAACTCGCCCCCCCCCCTTCGACTGGGTGTCCAGCAACGACCGTCCCCCCCGTCAGCCCCGCCCTTCCACCTCCGACCGGCTTTTTCGCCGAGGACACGAGCGATGACGATGAATAATGAGTCGGCATCAAAACAACAGAAATTAATACAACGCCGCCACTTTTCCACTAAGAAAAAAATCAACTATCAAAATAAATTTGTCTTACCCCACCCCAAATACGACCCCCCGCCAGAGCAAAAGTACGACCCCCCCTCATGTGTTTCACACAAGGATGCTGTACCCTGACCGCAGCCGCTTCATATCAGTCCTTTCGCATCGTACTGCACTTCGCAAATGAAGCTATACGATTCAGCATCGGTCAGACATTTGCGGGCTAGGGTTCTGGTCGCCCAGGTCGGTATATTGCCGCTCCATAGGGGGCTATAAGGGTATCTTGGAAAAGGAACCAGCGGCTGCTGCTCAGGGGCGCCGAATTCCGTCCAGTCAAGTGTATTAATCCTACACATTTTCGCAACTTATCGTGTCACTTGTCTTTAATATGCCATACAAGTCCTTGTATCCATTTCTATCCGATGTACAACTTGCGCTAGTTTTTCTTCCTATGTTCTGAAATTATAGTATACAACAGGAATTGCTGCGACGCAGTTCAAATGGCGTCATATGCGCGGCATTCACACCAGGTTGAAAGTGTAAGGCGCAAAGCGCGAGACGGCAAGATCGGTCACGACCGTAACTTTCGTGCTTTGAAGAAAAAGAAGGAGGGGGGGGGGCTTTCCGGGAACACCGCCAACCGAATAGAAATACCATCCTTTGAATTGGCCCTTAGCTTCTTCCCCTTTAGACTCGGGTGAAGTCCTCATCACCATTGTTCAAGTCCCAGTTTTGCACAGCTAGCCCTTCGAATGTCCCCTCCACCAAGGGATTTTAGCGACCTTGATTCAACTGCAAATGAAGAGAAAATGGAGACGTTTCACTGAATCAAAAAAGGACCCGCGGATTTTTTCCAACACTGTAGGAATGCGGCAGCTGAAGTGAAGGATCTATAAGAACTAGAAATTGTTGGACAAAAATAACGAGATTGTATGGAGATTTCTGGATTGTTCGACAAAACACAGTTTTCAACTCCATTACGGCCATCCTAGGATTTACAGCACTTC